AAGCTTTCTGACCACACTTTAGAAGTCATTTTGTTGTAATAAAAAACCGAAACTTGTTTTCATTAACATCATCATCAACATCATCGTTTTCATTATTATCATCTTAAATAATTTGGTATGATACAACAAAAGGAGTATCATGTGATTCTGGAATTGATTGACTTGATTCTAGACACCATTGTTCAATTTCACCAAGACTAATTGAAGTTGGACTAAGTTTTGTACTCTTAATAGTTCTTAAAAAATTATTTAATTGACTAATGCTTGGTAATATTATTCCACGTTCATGAAGTACTTCGATTATTGTTTTCGGTTTCAAATTCAATTCAAATAATTCCCGTGTTATTTTTCTTACTTCCTTTGGTATCTTTGAAGGTTTTTCTTGTATGCTATTATGAGTATGGTTTGACATGGTACGAAATAAAACAATCTTATCATTTCTAGAATCCAATAGCAAATAAAAGACCAGCATTACATTGTTTATCATGAGCTTTGACTTTAGTTACATGTAAAAAACTTCTTTTTCCTGCAGCTATTGTATTTGTAGAATGATAATTCCAATGATTTTCTTTGACCACTGTCTCTTCAGCTTCTTCAGTGTTATCAAACACTTTCTTCTATCCAATTTTGTTGTCTCTTTTTCACGCTTTTCTTGTTTCTATTGTCTATAGTTTCACTTATATCTATCTCGTCGTCAGAAACATAAGTCGGAACTTCAACAATTTCTAACACAGTTTTCATTTTTATATCAAATTAGTAAGAATAGTTTTGGTGAATCAAAATTTAACTTCTTTAGAAAATACGAGCTATTTATGTAGTGATAGGCAGAGGAACAAACAAGGGGACGATATCAAGAATCCTATTCTCCTTTGTTAAATTGAAAACAAGGAGAGAATACGATATATTCATCTTCATATGTAACTGTTAAACATTGAACAACTATAATAAAATATAAGAAGTAAGTAAAGAAAGGATGACATTGATAAGTAGGACAATGTATAAATACGATTATCGAGGGATACTATATAACATAGTATCTGTTGACTGATAATGTCATCATCAGTCAATGTGGACAATCGTTCTTCTATTTACATCAAAATATTTTCATTGAAAAAATAAAAGTGATTATCGATAAAAATACTATTTGTTACTGAGTAAATGAATTTTTGAATCAGCAAACTGAATTAATTACTGAAACTTTAATTTTAATACTGAGGAATTTATTAATTTACGGAGCAAGCGATTAGTTAACTCAACAAACGTAATAGTTACCGAACATTGAATTTTATACTGATAGTTTGATTTCTTTGCCGAAAATTTGTATATAATACTGAACATTTAATTTGTCCCCATTCTTTAATCGACAACACGTGAATAAAGTTTCATCAGAATCTACATTGTTATTTTATAAACACGATTTTATCGTCATTCTTCTACTTATCAGTTTCGATGCATATGTTTAAACGTGCTGATAAAAAGTTTCGAGTCAGTCGAAACATTCTTATTGACTAAATGCGTCAAGAGAAAGAGAACATGATAGACACTGGGAATTTTTTGAATATCATCGAATCATAAAGCACATTTAATTGCCATTTTATTGTCTCGTTTTTGACTTTCTATTGCAGCAATGTCTTTTGGTAATTTGGGAAAAAATAAACCGTGTTTTGGCGAGTACAAATGTTCACAGTGCAGGAAAATGTGGCAGAGTTGTCGAGCTTGGGCCGATTATGGGCAGAAATGCAAACAATGTTCGGAAGCAATTAAAGCATATCACTTGGAGAAGCTCTACACATATATTTGTGATCAATGTGCACATATTTGGCAATGGAAATTTATCACTCCTGGTCTCCAATGTACACGCTGCACGTCGTCAAAACTTTGCCAGCCCTACGACGAGGAGAAACCGAAAGATTCTGCGTATGTTTCTGCTCATCGACTAGCACTGCTAGAAAATGCTGATGGAAATATGGTCGATCCAAGCAAAGAGCATCGAAGTGATTTGTGTGCCAAATGTCAAACCTTGGGAAAATCTTGCACAGGAACGGGAAAATTTATCATGGACAAGCCTGCTCGATCATGGATTGTTGCTTGGACACATCCTGATATTGCTAAAGATGTTTTTCCCACACCAAAAAAGACCGTATCAAGTGACTCGGAATCGGACTAAACAATATCGTCATCGAATCCCATATCTATAATTCGGTACAATGTTGACTGTTCCTTGACATTATCATGCTACATAAAAAATCTAGATTGATTCATTCATTGATTGTTATCCATTCAAGATAAACTTTCTTCAGAGCGAACAGGTTGAGTTTTGTAAGAAAAAAAATAATCATAGAGTTCAGCTAAAGAAACGATTCGTGTATTCGAAACGGTAGCCGAGAGCATGGTAGTCTCCAATGATTTTTACGTGAGGTCGTGGACCTCATCATCGAAGTCAACTTTGACAGCCAATCAAAGTATGTACTTCAATGAAGCAGATGCCAATATACTTGTCATCAATATCTGAGTTAGGTGCCTTGTTCATCATGAGTGAAATACCCTCGAATTTGGATTATAATTTTTTTTGAAAAAACGAGTACAAACGAGGTGCGTTCACTTGTTACGATAAATGAGACTCATGGGTTATATTGCCGAAGTATCCAAAGCAGTACTACCTGTTTAAAAAAATAATGGCGGTGGATATTTTTGCAATAATTCAAGAACGGAAAGAGGTATAGAGCTGCGGTTTTCACCAGCCGAAAAAGAAGACATCGGGACATCTTTTTCTTCAATATTATATAGGAGCGAGGAGAAAACAGCGGACTTCAAGAGGTTTCAAGAGACTTCAATAAACTTCTGAGCCTTCGTGGGGCTTCACAATCGAAGTCTCGATTGCTTCACCCTCATATAAGACGAAATCATTATAAAATAAACCATTTTTATAAAACATCGAAAAATCTATCAAAATAATCTGTCATTCAGATGAAATTTTGGCAAAAAGTAAGAAAATTTACTTAAAGGAGGTCCCCTCAGAAAATTCAATTTTTCGAAGACAAGTTGAGATTGAGGTTTTATCGTAGAAAGATGCACCGGAATCTCCTCTTTCAGAATACCTATGGCTTATCGCAAAATGAATTGATTTCGACGAACTTATCGTGTAAAACTTGACTCCTACTAAAATATTTTTCGAGAAATTTTCACGGTTTTTTTTGTAAGTTTTTTTAAATATTAATCACTACGAGGCTATTAACACTTAGCTTTAAGATCACATATTTATAGCCTGTCCTGAACACTGATATGTAATTCAGGTGTCTTTCGCAAAGATCGACTTCTAAGACTTATTTAGCCTTTCGCTCAAAATCAGTTATTTTCGAACACGCCGTTTACGCAGGCAGGCTTTTCTTCATAACGGCTCGATATGGAAGTGATAATTTTTTTTTATTATATAGTAGACAGGTATGGCTAGGTCGTTACAGAGCCGAATTTTTGAATTTCTCTTTTGCTGAAATAAAAACCGTAGATCTCTCATTTTGATGAGTGATTTTTTTGGCCCTGAATTCAAGAATTTTTGAAAAAAGGATTTTTAAAAAACAAAGGAAGAAAAATTCAAAAATTGGACCCTGTCACGACCTAGCCCTAAGGGCACTCTACAACCTAAAAACCGTCCAGGCATGTTAGCTCGCATCTTAATTGTGAAAACCTTGCCCTCGTATAGGATACTTTTGACCAATAAATTGACTATAACTCGTCAATACCACATAGATTTGGGGAGATATTTTAACCATAATCTACTCTAACCAAGACTAATATTCTCCGAAATTTTGGTTGAAATCGGACGAAAAATAACAAAGTTGGTTTCTGAGGGAGGGCCTCCTTAAAAATTAAGAGAAATCCATACTTTTCGAAGGACTTAAGAGATAATTCTATAGGCTTAACATTAGAATATATGATGGTAATCATTCGAATTATATCTTAAACTATAGATCTGAAGTTCCTCTATATAAATCACATATCAAAACCAAAATATGATCGGAATGACAGACTGTTTTCACGTATCTTTTGCAATGTTTCGCAGAAATGATTGATTTCAACATGATTTTGACTTATATAATATCGGAAAAAAGACATCCAGATGTCTTCTCTTTCGACTGGGGAAAACGCACCTCCGTAACTCTTTCCATTCTTAACGATGTGGGTGTGGATGAGCGGAAGACTCTAATTCACACCCACACCCTCGCCCCACCCACATCCACACCCCGACATCTTTCGATTGACGGATCCGATATCCGATAACTTCCTATCGAAATCCAATATCAAGGATTCCAACAATTTTCGACGGGACCCTGTCCGAAATTACTAGATTTCCAGCCGAAATTCATCGTATTATACGGGATATCTTATGGGATCCGACGAAATCTGAGTCCAGAATTTCTCGTCCTGGGCAGATTTTCAAGTCAAATCTTACAGAAGCCGCTATGGCCGAGTGGTTAAGTTGTCCGACACACACCCACTAAGTACTGTGTTCGAACCTCGGCGCTACTAAATATAAATGGCCCTGAACAAGTCATTAACGGCTGTTTGTCTCGGATTACCTGCCCAATAGCACACTGACTACGTGGTTGACATGCACAAAAAGCTCATGTGGCTTGTATGGGGTTAGTCAGTGTATATGGGGAGCTTAAGTGATGAAGCGGAAGAACTCTGAGTCAGGCCGGCCTTCTGTTCATGCCTACAACTCGTAATAGTCGTAGGAAAAATGTCGGGCTTCTGAAACTGTCTTTGAACAGCATCTCATACCGTAAGGTAGTCCACTGACAGGGTCTTCTTCTTCTTTTTCTCTTCTTCAAGTCTTACAGAGATAATAAACCATTGTAAGCGCTCAATAGCATTAATCTTCAAAAATCTTTACACTTTAAAATTAAGCTAAAAGACATAAATATTAGTCATGGAGGTAAAGTTAGCACCCAGTGTAATCTTTTTTTGTCCTGATCCATTCTACGACTTGTGTTTGTTTTCCGGTACTAGGACAATTCGTTGCGGGTGTGTGCGGGTCTTTTGTGTATCCTCATCGACATCCTAATCTACACACACCCGCGACGAATTGTCCGGCTACCAGTTTTCTAATTGCTTGTATCCGGTATAGCATTCGATTTTCTATTGAATGGTACCATTTTCTATCAGGTTCATTGGGCAAAATTAGGAGGTTTGGTCGTAAAAATAGTAAACTTGAAAGCGTGTTTTGTCAGGAAACTTGTACATATTCGCTCGATGACTTGTGTTGCCTTCCTAAATGGTTGTGTTAGATGCGAAATTTCATTCTCCGTTGAATGCTATTATATCTTTTAGAAGTCATCGAGCAAAATTTAAAAGTTTTATTACAAATACTTTCTGAAATAGGTCATTTTGGAAGTTTATCGTAGAAGTTGGTACAAATTGATCTACACATCTGTTTCGGTTTGTTGTACGATTTATAATATTAAGGTTTATGTCGCATACTTTTTTTTCAACTTAAGCAGTTCAGGCAACGAAACAAACTGATTTTTGTCATAGAGCAGCGTTTTTTAATATAAGAACACGAATTTTTTTCTGTACGAACTTTTTCAGATCGTTAGTGCACATTTTGCATCAAAATCTCGTCCATCCGCAAGGATAAGTGCGGATGACTATGAAAGTTAATGAAATGGAGGAAATCCATATCCACATTCACACTCTTATTCTGTCTTTGTGATACGTCAAAGAGTTATCTATGAACTTTCAAAACACAATGTCCCCTTTTGTTCACTTAAACGGAACAAGAAAAAAATAACAATATCTTCAGTTACGTTTGCTAGCACATCATCATGAGATACTATAAAATAGACACAACAATAATTATCTTTTAGAGTGATTATATATTAAGATCATAGAATTCAATATTTGACAATAAAATACGATGTCAATAAAGTATAAATCAATAATTGTTACAACTGCAGTGTCTGTGTGTCGTGTTGATGTTATTTGTTTTCTAGATAATTGTAGACGACTCGCTGTCGCGAGTTGTGTCCTCGATACTGATCGTTTCGCCACTATTGACTGTCTCGTCAGTAATTGTGATCGTTTCGCCACTATTGACTGTCTCGTCAGTAATTGTGATCGGTTCATCACTATTGTTAACAAAATGACTATCCGTGGTGGTGATGATTGTTGACATGCTATCTTTCGAAATTAAGCCACTACGAATAGTTGTGGCTCGCGGCGTAGTTCGTATAGTAGTTTTTGTTGCCGAGAATGCAGTTCCTTCATTTTTGATGCCTGATGTGCTAACACTGTCTGGCGATGTTGAGGCTATAAGATATATATCAAACACCGTGTGAAGATGAATATAGTATCTGTTTCTCAAATGAAGCTAGGATGAATATATATATTTTTTTTAAATTTTACACCCATCTACTTCTCGACAACTAGATGTATGTATTCAAATCAAAATTTAATGCAGTAAAAATAGTATGAAAAGTCGATAGAAGAATTTGGGACTATCTACTATCAAAAAAATAGACTTGAAATAGAAATTTTACTTGTACTAGTGGTAGAAGTTGTTGTTGTTGTTGTAAAATCATTCGGCTTTGTCTTACGAGTTAAAGTAGTTGCCAATGAAATAATAAGGATAGCAACTAGAATGAATATTACCGTTGTGAAAAATACAAGACGACGGCGTTGAGTTCCAAGTAATGATCTTCTGAGTGATTCTCTAAAAACAATAAAATAAAAATTTAATATTAACATGTTTTTAATTACATCAAGAAAATGAAACTTACTGGAGATTGTGTAGATTATTAATACCTGTTCTATTACGAACAATCATATCATTTCGCTGATGAATAGGCACACTTTGCATCATAAAAATCTATATAATCACAATGATACAATAGAATATGAACACTATTAAATGATGTAGTAACACAATATTTGTGAATTTTCTTCTCTATGAAAAAAATAATTTTATTCTTCAAAAACCTAAATGTTTGATAAATAGACGTCATTGCTATATTTAACAATAATTCTATTCTACACTACAGGGTAATTATTTCAACAATATTTTACTTTTTCCTTTTGTAAATATAAACATTTCTCCATTTTTGACTTTAGCAAAAGCAAAAAACTTTAGTAATAAATTTTATTATGAACAAAATGAGAAAGTTTTTTTTCAATATTGAACGTGCTTGTTTTTTAATCTAATGATGTTTTATTCGATTATTTGCAAATTTGAAGTAAGATGATATTTAGGCACATTTGGTTAACATAGTTACATGATTCTTTTTCTTTATTCCAATGAAAAATATATGTAAAATAAGATCTTGTAACAATTTTTTTTTTCATATTGACAAATAAGTGTTTTATTTAATGACACGTAAATGGTATTAAAATCTCGCTGCCTGCTCTCTGATCCGACAAAACACGTTCAAGAATTTTTTCTGATAATGCTCAATGTTTTTCAGATCGTCATAAAATATATGAGATACATAAAGAAAAAAATGTTTAAGCCGCTAGTTTGTCTTCATTCTTCTAGAATCTTGACGATTTATATATAATTTCTTTTAATGTTTAAAATATATGCCAAGATTTTTCTTCTTTAAAAAATCCTCTTTTAGAAGTATAATACTAATATATCATTGACCATCAATACCTATGTATCTTACGTACATGTTATTGATCAATATAATTTTCTGTTCCAGAGAACGTTACAAGATGCAGGACTTGCCCTATGGGTACAACAGATCTATTAGGAATGTATGACGGTCTAGAATCCTTACGACAAAGACCAACTGACTCATCTGAAATTTAGTGGCATCCGCGTACATGATTAGTACATTTAATATAGCAATAAGTGTGAAGGTATCACTGAACTGCAATAGTATCAAAACTTTTAGTGTGTCCCTATCACTTACTTGAAGTGACGTATGATTCTTTGTTTTGTGTAGTGAAAAGTATAGCCAAGACAATCACAGTACAGATTGCTAATCCAAAAGTCAACATTAAAGAAGTGATGGTGATTATGCTTGGTATTCCCTTTCTATAGATAAAAAAAAATTCTTATTTTTAAAGTAAAAACATGAACATATACAAATCTTACGATGCTGACATTAGTTTTGTCTGGATCGAAGTTGATTTTTTTGATGGTTACATCTTTCATTCTGATCATTCTTGAAGATATTCATGACGATTTTCAAACTACAGGAGAACTTGGTGAAATAATATCAGTAGTGTCAAACTTGAAAGTTGAATTCAAGTATTCAACTATTCAAGTATTCAACTAATCAACTATTCAAGTACTCAATTAGTCAACTCCAGGAATGCCATCAGAATCATCTAACACCGACAGATATTGTCTAGGGTACCCGTAGTATCCCCTATGATGCTACAGGCATTCTATATGATGTTGCAAGCATTCCATATAATGCTACGAGCATCACCTAGGATGCTACAAGCATTCCCTAGGATACTACAAGTTTTGGTTGAGATGCTTCAGACATTATATGGGATGCTACAAGAAGTATGTGAGAAGCTTAAGCTGCTGTGCAGCACTGAGTAGGAATAATGATGTACACAGAGACATGCATGGGTCGCGGCTCTCCGGGGAACACTTCGTGCCCCCATGCCACAACGCTGAAATAAAAGGTGTGTTAGATGGGGAAACGCACTTCCCCATTGAATATCCGCAGAATACTTGAATTCAAGTTTCAAGTATTACATGTATGGAAGTGTAGGAGCAGAAGCTGAGACCTACTACTTCGAAAAGTATGGTCTATTAAATGGTATACATAACTTTGTTGCAACCGTGAAAGAAACTGAAAAACCAATTGCCCAAAAATTAGTCCGAGAATCGTCATGTTATCGGAAAAATTGAGTTTTGACAAATGAAATTGTTCGACAGACAAATCAAGTACATTTTCTGAATCTCCCAGCCAAGCTCTATACAATGGTAAAAAATGTTTTTTTAATTTGCATGTTTAACTTCTGAGAAAAAAGCAATATTTTTTTCTATAGTGTGGTTTGAACGGCTAGTCCCATAAAATGATCAATCCATTCACATCCAACCTCCAAATTTTTCCAGAATATTTTCCTATCTACTGTCTCTAATCTTTGTTAGCATCAATATTCGTGGATTGCACAGTGGGTTAGTATTTGATCGACAAAATTAGTCTATTTAGAATTAGTACATGGAACTGCGTCAAATGATATATAGTATAAAACAATTTTGAAGAAAAAAAACTTTCTCGAAAACATGAGAGCAAGGGTTCTTTTCCTCAAGATTGAGTCAAAAAGTGAATTTCATGAAAACTCTATTTTTATTGTTTATTCATTTGCTATTTGAAAAAATTCTAGTATCGTTTTATAACCTTAGAACTTGATTTTCACTGTGGGAATATCTTTTCGATGAAATTCATTTGTTGGCTGCACCCCGAGCGAGATAGATCAGGGATGAATTTTTAGATGAAAAATAATGTTTGCGAAAATATTTGACATACACGTAGGTCTCCTCAGTTTTGAAATGCTGATTCAGAATATCGTATTACCATTCACAAAAATCATAATTTTCATATCGAAACCTACTAAACATTAGTAAAAAAATGGTTCAAAATCTTTTGTCTCGAGAATAATATTCTTAGAATTTCTTTGTGTGACCAATATTTCATCTTCGATGCTTCTATATTAATTTCAATCAACTTGTGCACAGTGCAAATAAATGTTATATGACTAATTCTATCAAGACTCATTTTCAACAGTTATTGAACCTCCTCCTCTGTTCAAGATTCAAAACAATGTTAAAATAGACCCGAAGACATCACGCCACAACTAAACAAGTTCAATTTTTACACTTATTTTTGTATGTAATTTAATATTTGTTAAATGAATAAATGTTTATTTTCTTTGTTTTTTATACGTAAGAATAAATAAACAAAAAAATTTCTATTTTTTCATTCGCCACCACCTGTTGATGCAGCAGCAATATCTTGTAATTGTTTAACTAATTTTTTTCGTTGTGCTATTGATGATTGAATACCAGCATTATTTGAATATCGAGAAAGACCATCTTCATCACTACTTTCACTTGAATCAGATGAATCTGTAAAACCTTCAGCTGGACCTATTCCAGGTAAACGACCACCTGGAATAAGTAAACGTGGTAATCGAGCTGGTGGTTCTAATTTTATTTGTTGTTGATCATCTTCTTCATTATCATCTTCTAATGGACGTTTTAATGATTCATTTGTTGAACTAGAATAATTTACTTTTTTTTTTTTCAATAAAAGAAAATAAAAATATTTTTTTAAAATTTAACCTTTTTCGTTTAACAATTCCACTGAGTAATTGTTTTTGTTTATTAACTACTGGTGGTGTAATATGTTGTTTAGTTGATATTGGACGAGTATTTGTTGAAATAGTTTCTAATTCTTTTTGAGCCTTGTATTTTATGGAGTTAAGGAAAAATAGTTTCTTTTTTGTTCTAGTAAAACAAATTTTATACTAAAAAAAAACAAAATATCAAATGCACAAAAAAAAATAAAAGGATATTTTTAATTCTTCAATTTCTTCTTGTTCCATTCGTTTTAATTCACGTTGTTTTTCAATTTTTGCATGATCTAAACGAGTTAAAAAGTCTGTTTCATCTTCATCAAGACCACGAATTGAATTTTCTATGCAGATAAGAAAAAACAATTAATATTAAGAAATCAATATTTCTTTTTTTTTTACTTGCTGCCCACATATCTTCATATTCTTTTTTTTTAGTATCATGTTGTACTTTAAGTTTTTCATAAAGAGATCGTGAATCAAATACTTCAGCTGGTGCTTCTATATAATATAAAAATGGAATGAAATTAGATCACAATGATCGAAAATATATATTTTTATTATACCAATTGGATCAGCTGCTGATCGTACACGTTCCCAATCAGCTTGTCGTCGTTGTCGTTCAATTTCAATCTGTTCTTCAGTTAAAAATTGTTTTAAATTAGCTGATAATGAAGATTGATCAGTCATCGTAGATAGTTTTGTCCCTAAATTAAGAAATAATTAAAAATGAATAGAATAGTTCACTTCGTTATACCTATTGGATATTAATTTCTGACCAAACATGATCATACGAAAGATGTCACTTATTGATTTATGTCTCATACATGTTTCTGAGTAATCAAAAGAAATATTTATGAAGAAAAATTATTAAAAGTAGATCAAATTTTTGAAAATTTAATTTCTTTATCGACATGAAATCTTTGTCTACCTTATTACATGATATCAATCTAAAATTCATTTTTCTTCCTATATATTATAAGTATATGTGTATAGTCTTGTTGATATTTGTTTTATCACATAGAACTTTTATTTAAAGAATTACAAAATTAATAAAATCTTTCGGTTTTTTTATCTTATTTATTTAAAACATTCATATATATATATATATATAGGTATAAGTCTGTTTTGTGATTAAAAAATACTTGAATATTAATACATGTATAATAAAAGAAAATGTTCACATCTTGAAATAAGAAATTAACAAGTCTGTAAAAGTACTTCTACGTAACCTGTACCATAATCGGCAACAACAATATCCAACCAAGTATCATTGTTAAAATCTCCAATAGCGACTGATATTGGATGAGATCCATAATCAAGGGAATATGGGTGTAGCTCTTTAAAGGTTCCATTG